CATTCCATTAATATTTTTGGTCTCCTACTATATACCAGAAACCATTTTAACAGAACAGTAAACTGAATTTTTGATGTTTGCATTTTCATAAGGAAAGGACAATTAATAAGTAAGATATGTACTAAGTAAGCCAGTGCTAAGTACAAAAGAGAACAAAATACCTAAAAGGTATCATGTGAATTAAAAGCACAAAAATGATGGACTAAACCAAGGAAGAATCTGGAAGGAAAGTATTTCCTGCAGGGAGAGTAAACACAAAGGCCTAAGGTGGGAGGGCATGGGGTAGGGGTTGGCCAAGGAAGAGCAAAAATGACAGACGGGCTGCTCCACAGCGATCAGGTATGATTTTGCCACAGTAAAAGAGGTCATTGAACTGGACGATCATCCAGAATGACTGGTGACTACATAAGAAGGAATCCACATACAGGGGAAACACCGCGTCGACTTGGAGATGGCCATCTGCAAGCCAGTGAGAGAGGCCAAGAGCAGATCTTTCCCTGATAGCCCTGAGAAGCAACAAATCCTGCCCCCACCTTGGTCTCGGGCCTCTGGCCTCCAGAACGGTGGGACAATAGATTCCCACTGTTTAACCCAGCCAGCCTACGGCCCTTGTTACAACAGCCCTGGCTTTCTCTCTCTTCAGAGTAACAGGGAGGGTCTCTCTGTGACCTCCAACCCCTCCACTCTTAGGCCCCCCTCCATTTCCAAGCTATTCTCTATAGCTTTTCCAGCAGCTCACTCTGTTGTATTGTAGGAGATCAAAAATATTAATTGAATGAATGAATGAACCATGAGATTAAGCTCTAGGCTGTCATCAACGTAGCACAACGTGTTATATAGATGGGAGGCCCATACACCTTCTTAAGAGTGTTAGGGGCTCTGGCTGGTGTCCTTCCAATGAGTAGACAGACACCCCCAAAGGAAGCAACAGGTGCAGCTTCTGTCCTTGAGAGGTTTCAAACTAATTGGAGTTTGATGCATTGTGTGTTTCAAACTAAACACACAATGCATCAAAAATCAGAGACCAGATCCATAGAGCAATCTATCAACATGAGCAATTAAGTCCAGCAAGGGCTGATTTCTAAAACTGTTGAGTCAGGAAAAAAAAAATCTGTTAGAAATGAATCAATATATACCTGAACGCTCGCCAGAATTTTGAAGGATATTCTCATATATGCACCTTCTACCATAAGCACATTATTTATTACAAGGTCTCAGGAACAGGTTTTGAGAAGGCAAAGCCTGTAATGTACAAGATATATTTCTCAGTAAATACTTTGTCCCTTGAATAAACATGATTCCACCAAAAGGCAACACCAGCAACTTGAAAAAAAATAGAGATAAAATTAAAACTACAAGAAACAATCTGAGCAGACAGAAGGTAATCTGGGATCCAGGTACCACCTGATGAAAACCAATTAAATCTTATAGAGGTGGCAAGTGACAGAAGGAAATAAAGTTAACTAGAAAATAAGCTGTGATGTCTGCTTTTGATCTTTCTCCTATACTACCTATTTCTCTCCTTTTTATTTTTTCTCTTCGTATTAAAACTCGCCCTCTGATTTCCTAGATGAGCAATTAAGCCCTAACCTTGGGTAGAAGCTCTGAAGACAGTTATCAATAAAAATGAATCTGGTAGGAACTTCTCTTCCTAATCCTGGTGCTGACTCACCAAGTGATCTTGCCTACAAAAAGCTTGAAGTTCTTTAGAAGAAAAGCACCACACAAAGCAGAGGCTTATTATGGTAGCATCGACTGCTGTTATTTGTCTAAAAATAATCCCAGTTTCACTTCTGATGTCTTGAAGCTTCTCTTTTTTTCTCTCTCTTTCTCTGTTTTCTATTTTTTCCTCCTCCCACTCATTAAACCTTCCAGTAAAACAATAAACTAGTTCATGGGGGTGGAATAAATTCAAGATTCAAAATAGAAAAACATACTTACATAAATCTATATGGCTGTGCACATTAAAGAGACTCTTATTGAATGCCCAGCACATTTAAAGAGAGAATATGCAAATTTCTGTAATATCCCCCAAAGCTTTTTTCTATATTGCACTAGAAAGTACTATGTTCACCTAAATGGCTACTTTATGATACTTTTTAAAATTCGTTCTTTTTAGATACATGTGACAGGAGTGTATTTCGACGTATTATATATACATGGGGTATAACTTCCCATTCTCTTGGTTGAACATGATGTAGAGTTACGTGGTCGTGTATTTGTATGTTAGCATAGGAAAGTTATGTCCGATTCCTCTGTCTTTCCCATTCCCATCAGCCCTCTCTTCCCTTCCTTCCCCTTTGTCTAATCCAATGAAATTCTAACACAATGAACCAAGCTCCAGAAACAGAGCTAAGAGAGGCAGCTTCTGAAACCAAATACATAGGATATAGAACGGACTGAACTTGGCCTCAGAGTTGGAATGTCTCACTACCTCATTCCTCTTCACTTTGTATTTCAGAGAGAAAACCTACTTCACAGAGGTAAGAAAGCCCAGAAATAGTTTAACATTATGTTGTCCTAGATTGTTCACCTATGCAGTAAAACTGTCAAATGCCTCCAATACATAAACTCTTCCCATAAATGTCTATGCTCATATCACATATTTTTCATACATCCATGAATATACATACACTTATTTATAAATCACATAACATATGAAACAGTATGCACACTGAAACATAAATTAGAATATTGCCAGTACGAATTAAGGTTAATAGAAACAATACCTTTCAATGTGGCTTCCTGTTCTGATCAGCTAGCATCTCAAGGCTCAGGAAAGGGGACTCTTTCACGGTAATGACAGTGACCTCTATTTCAAACACCCTTCCTGACAACACGAGGTGCATTGGGTGGCTTGTGTCCTGAGCTCATGGCCTCATGACACAGCCGCTGCTAGAAGAGTCTGCTCCGCCTCCATTTCTCTTTGTGTTTCCTCCCTTGCCACAACGTGCTTTGGGCTTCACCACTTGCTCTTTGCAGGATTAACTCTAAGCCTGCATTTGTGATGGTTGGTTTAACCAAAACTAGATGATATAATCCTCAAATCCTCTCAACAATGGCACCTATAAGTGCTGTTCGTGGCCTCATGCTGAAAAGCAATGGAGGGGGACACTTCTGACTTTGGATGGTGGACTCTTCTTCCCTCACGGAATTCTGACATGGGAACTCATCAATGCGAGCAAAGCACACTATCTTCCTTGCTTTTAATAAAAGATCTATTATATTGTTTTGCAATTGTTATATGGGGCCTGCACTTTGAAGACCGCTGCCCTAGGGATGTGTTTAAATCTGGCCATGGGGCTGGGGTTGTGGCTCAGTGGTAGAGTGCTTGCCTAGCATGTGCGAGGCACTAGATTCAATCCTCAGTACCACATAAAAATAAAATAAAGATATTGTGTCCAATTACAACTACAATTTTTTTAAATTAAAAAAATAAATAAATCTGAGCATCACCAAAAACACACTTAGAATATTTTAGGATGTGGGTAGTGCCAGTTTTAATTTCATGAAAATATCAGACTGGAATAAATCTGCCAAGCCAAGACGGGTCTGACGTTCCCGGACTGCAATGACACAATGGACAAATGTCAGATCTTGCCGTCATCGTGCTTTATTCGTATTCCTGCTACCAGGTGATCCTGATCTTTCATTGGTAA